AGTCTTTTATAGTTTATTTCACTAATATATCATATAATGTAAAAACAGCTTTCAATTGATGTTATATTTTACTCAATTCTCGACTATAATTAGAAGTGAATTAAAATCTCAATCTCTTATTAAAGTAGCTCTAAATCATGAAAAATATCATTAAATAATGCCACCATTGAAAGCAAAATCTCATATAAAATCAACAATGGGATGAGTCGTTGGATACTGTATATACTCGTCAATAATTAAAGTATTGTTATATTTTACAAAATAAATTGTAAATATATAAAGGAAACAACAAATAACTGAAGTATCAATTGACTTTCATAAACATTAATATCAGAATTTCTAAATTCTCAGAAATTTAATATAATACTGTATTAAGCATACTAGAAGGTTTTATATTAACAATTTAAAATCATATACTAGTACTTATAATATTAAATATTTGCTTATATACTCAATTACTGTTCATACTGTATTAATATTTCGTGTAATTAGTTTTTATTAAAAATCAATTACTATAAAACGGGTGATATTATTGGGAAACTATAATAGTTTTTTGAAGGAATTAATGAAAATGGTTGGCATAGATAGAGCACAGTATGCGATGTGTCACTAATAATGGATATGGAGTTTAGTTCACTGAAAGCATCAAATGATAAAAGTTTGCAATAAACACATCCTTAGGATATATTGAATGCAATACAAGGATTTGCTTTACTATCAAAGTGTATTGTAATTATGAAGTGCACGCAAATGACAGACATCTCATATAATTTATAACATATAAAAACTTTATTAAGTTATACATGATCAACACCGTTATATTATTCCCATCTCAACGAAAGCCATGTAAAAGTTATCACAAAAAACAAACAAAAATGGGAAAATTCCTTCAAAATCAATGAGTTATCCTTTTTTTGTTTTATTGATTTTGATAAGCTCACTATAACATTTATATGTGGAGCATAATCTCTGTAATAAAAATGATTTTACTAACAATTTTATTTCAATGATAACACAGAGTCCGCCATTTGTGATGAAGACCCGGAACAATCAGTTCGAGGGCTACGCTATAGATCTGATCAACGAATTGTCACGAGTCGCCAGATTTAACTACACTCTGTATCCGACGCCCGATGAGGCCTATGGACAGTCCGACAAAAGTGGCAAACCCTCCGGAATGGTACAGGAATTGTTTATGCGGGTAAGTACTCACACACACTCCCTGTACTATCTGTAGCATACATTTAAATGCATTAAATTGGTATTCATGGAAAATATATAATATTTTAATAAATATTTATGTATTATAATGTATGTGACTGTTTAGTGAACAGTTGCGTTCAATAAAAGTGCAAAATAACGTGCTTTTAGTAAAAACAAGAATTAATAACAATAGGAAATCCTCTGCATCTAATGCTTTTACAATAGTTTTCTTCAAATAAAAAAATCTATATTTTATAGAAATGTAAAGAAAAGGGAGATATAGTGGGAAAGGGAGGGAGAGAATGAATGCAATGCTAAATATAATAAATATAATTTTATTAGTGTATCTAAAAAATCCATTTTAAAAAAGGAAATGGATAAAGAATTGGACAAAAATTTGAGTTCAAATATTTATTTTGTTACTTAACTTAAATTTCAAACTAAAGTAAAAATAGTGGTTTTCTGATAAAATATTGTTTGCTATTTTCACTTTTCCCAAAAAGTTCAATCAAATATAATTAGACAAGACTTTTGTTATGTTACATAACCTATGTAGTACATTTTTGTTTACAACTTTTCTATTATTAGGCTCATACAATAGCCCTAATTAATTATTTAAAGCATTAAAACATAATTAACAAAAATTTCTATCGCATTGTGTTTGTGGACAGAGAGCGGACTTTGCGATCGGAGATCTGATTAAAAGCCAAACCCGGGAGCGATATATCGATTTCAGCGACTCGTTTATGGACATAGACTTGACTGCACTCATCAATAAGAAGAATATCGCAAATATGACTTCATTTGCACATCTGGTCAACAACACCAACATTACGTACGGTGTGCTCCGGGAGGGGGACACCTTTCGGTTCATGAGCATGTCTCTCAACCCCACCATCGCTAATATGCACCGTTACATATACATGAATGGCTTCAACCTGGTCAACTCCAGACAGGAGGGCGTGGAAAGGGCTCTCAATACTAACTATGCCTTCATTCAGGTATTCATTCATTTACTAATTGCTACAAAACATCTATTATTCAGTGATTTCTCATTTAATATAATATATACAGTACTTATTGTATTGTATTTCCGACTCTAACTCGTGAGACAACTCTTTGACATTTATATCAAAACACAAATAAATTCAATTCATTGTCTATTTTGTGACTCCAATCCAATTATTGAAAGTAATAATAAATGCAGTGATTTGTGATCAATCAGGAAACACATGTTTATTTCAATTATATCTTACATTTCGTTTAATTAGATTTGCAAAAACTATATTGCTAATAATATAAAATAGTGGACGTACAGTATATAAGCTATAATTCACAATTAAGGCATAATTCATGTATTTAGGAATATATTACAGATATTAAGAGAATTTTATGGTACAATTAAAATTAGCTTTTAATTATAATAATATTTATGCAATAAATAACAAACGAATAAACAGTTTTGACATTTTAACATGTTAAACTTTTAAGCGTAAAAATGTGATAATAATGATATGAAAAAGTAAACAATTCATAAAAATGATTACTGATTCTTGGAAATGGTTTGAATGTGAATAATAAAATAAATATAATCTATGTGTAGGAATCGGTGGCCAATGAGTATGCAATGGACCAGAACTGTGAACTGACTGCCATTGAGGACAAACAGGAGATCAACCGTCGGGAGTATGCTATCGGACTGCAAAAGGGGTCGCCGTATAAGTCGGACATCGATAGAGCGATACAACAACTGAGAAACGACGGGACACTGAACCGTCTGAAGAGGAAATACTGGCGAACAAAGTGTTTGACGAACTCTGATATGATGTCAGTTAACGCTAAATTAGATGCCATCACTTCACTCAGTCTTATAGCCTCGGCCCTCATCTCCTATATACTGTTCAATTGAAATATAATTATCTTTATATTTAATTTTCGTTTGTTTAGTTTACTGCTAGACTTTCTTTTCAGGAATTGGTTTTCATGATTTATTCAAAACAGTTTACATTTTCAATGCTTTCAAACACGAGTCGACTACATCATTACACAAAAATCATTAATTTTTACTACTTTTAACTATATTTACATGATTTTGTAACTTATGTTTAATAGCTATTCAATTCTTGTTTTCTTTGATTTTTATTAGCTTTGAAATTTTATTTTTATAAAAATAAATAGCTTTAAGTCTAATGGCAACAAATTTCTTAGATTGTTTAGATGTCAAACTCCTTATCAATATTGATGTGAAAGTTTAAACAAATTTTTCCTATTTTACACTGATTAATTTAGTTTAATTTACATAAACTAATTATTCGTCACTGAAATATTTTATTCAATTACTGTCTCAATAGATATTTCACTTGAAATCTTTACCAATTCTTTCAATCTTTCAATTTTAGGCTTTTTGTTACAATTTAATCTCAAAATACTGTTATCTTTCAGAAAGTATTGAACGAAATCTATTATAATATAATATATATTATATAATGATCTGAACAAATGAGTGCAAACACAAAAGTATTGATAGATAAACACAAAATAGTTGCCAAACAATTGTTGACAAAATACCTGTCAATTTGGAATTCATGTGACTTTTCAATTGTACCTGAAATTATAAATAAGACCCATATATAACTTATAGGATATTTCTCTTACAACTTCTTATACAATAATATATGACAACCATTTTTGCTATAATCTTAATCTAAAACATTAAGATTTTATGTAAAATATTAGAGCAAATTATTTACATAAGAATAATATATTGATATGAATATTGCATTTTATTTCTAACCAATGTTTTTATGTGAATATATCATTGCAATTCATTTGAATAATTAATGTAAATGTACTTACTTATCTATCGATCATTAGTTATTATCGATAATTCATTTGAAAGTTAATCATAAATTGTATTCAAATCTAATTCTTTGAGTTTTTATAAGTGGATTATATTCTGAGTCAATCAATCATTTTTCATAAGTATAGTATCAGTCAATGAAAGGAAAAATATGAAAATCATTTCTATAGCAAAATTTTTGTCTTTATTTTCAAATCATATTAATGTGTTTAGTTTAAAACGTTGGTAAATGTGAAAAAATCAATATTAAATTCCGGTGAATGAGTAAAAATCAATAACTTTCTAAATACTTAAAATTGATAAATTATATTCAAATATACTGAAAAGTTAATATAAGTAAAAAACATTAAATATACAAGTATACCGTAAATATTTAATGAATTAAATACAATATAAAAGTAGATCAAGAATAATGCAAACAATATAAGAATATATTTGAATAACATTTTGAGAGAGAGAAATGTATTGAGAAAACAGAAATTTCAGGCATTTTGAAAGATATAGAAAATCATATGTAATATAATTTGTGTATAAAATCCATAACTTCTTTGCGTTATCTATCATAAGCTCAATGTTTTAATTTTTTTTGTGAAAATATACTAAAATAAGTCACTCATTATAATCCATTGACACATAATCTGTTAATATATTTAAAACATCTATTTTTACTAACAAAACGAATATACAAATTGAGATCCAAACCAATGTATTCACTATTAAACGCATAGATTATATAAATTATAATATGTAAATCTCAGATATAATTATAAAATGTAATGGTATTATGAAAAGGCTTTTGGCGAACAAAATATGAGGTATTATTGTATGAAATTATAGAAACCTGTAATGAATGTCACAATAAATTTATTGTATTGTAATTTAGAGTGGAATTTAGTGTTGGATGTGTCTGACAAGTTTTGTAATCAGTATTAAAAGTATTCAAAATAAATTATGTATTAATACAATTTCAAAACTTAATTTTATTGTTTATTAATTTTTAGAAATGAACTCAAATTAGATCTACATTTCATATAAAATAATCAATTCGTATCAAATCTCTTACGAAAAGATGAATATAGCATTCAATTTGTATTCAAGTTTTAAGAGTTCTTTTGATCCATTTTGAAGACCACCTGAAATATAAAAATCAAATACTAATCAAATAATACAGTAATTAAATGAAAAAATGAATACCGATTTGGTTTCTAAGTACTCGTGAAGGGCTTCTTCGCCACATTCCCGACCAATACCCGACTGTTTGTAACCACCGAATGGTGTTTGCGGTCTAATAGATAGGAATGTATTAATCCAGACATTCCCGGCTTCCAAAGCCTCGGTCAGTGTCAACGCTTTTTTAAGATCGTTAGTGAAGGCACCGGCAGCCAAGCCATATGTGGTATCGTTAGCCCTTTCAATCACTTCCTCCAATGTCTTAAACTTGAAGATGGACTGCACGGGTCCGAAGATCTCCTCCCTCGCGATCTTCATATTGTCCGTCACGTCTGTAAACCTGTCGATAATTATTATAAATTTATTATTTTGAAAATTTTCTATTAATGTGTTTAATGCATACACTGTGGGCTCAATGTAGTAGCCCTCAGATCCCCATCTCTTTCCACCCGTCAATAGTTTGGCGCCTTCTTCACGACCAAGCAAGTGGAAACTAGCTTAAAGTTCACTATAAATAAACTATAGTTTACTTAATTATAACCAAATATTAAGCTTACAAATCAAAACAAATATAAGTTGGCTGTCATTTGGATGACATAACTCTAAAATGACATCAATAATAGTATATAACATTTTGTCATTCTTCAATGTATTTTACATGTGATTTTAGACATAGTTGTAAAACTCTTGATTTAAATATAAATGCCTATTTAAATATTTGATATTTTAATTACAGATTTTAAAATTAGATAGTGTTGTATTAATATACAAATTGTTTTGCAATTATATTATTTTCAAATTAAGATGTAATTAAATTTGAAAACAAATTTAGATATTTCTAGAAAGAATAAAACACATTTGTTTTTACATATTATAATATACAATTGCTGTACATTATGTAGTATTCTGGTTATTATGAAGCAAATTATCTAATATGTTTGTGTCTTGGTTTCTATAAAGCTGTTTGTCCTTCACAAGTCTCAAAACCATTATTAATGGTGCATCGGTTATGATTATTTCTTTATCTACACTAGAGGTACAGATAAATGAAATGCACCAGAATAGAATTTAGTGCAAGAAAATTTTCCATTTTCCCCACACTCTGCATAAACCAACCCATGTTAGCCCTCTCGCATATATCTATTCTAATTTATACAAAACTGATTAACAATACAATATACAATATTCCAAAAGTGAACATTTTTCATTAATAATTGCTAAATTATAAATTAAATTAGTCTAATAGTTAACTAAATTTATTTAATTATTCACAAAATTAACTAAATTGTGAAATATATAAACACATCTAATTCATAAGTTAGTTAATTCCATACATTATTAAATTAATCTACTTCAAATTTAGTTAATTTCACGCACAATTAAGTTAATTTAGTTATTAAAATAGTTAAAGTATCTAAAAATTAAGTTTTTTTAATTCTTAATTAATTAAACTTAATTAAAAACACTTAATTTTTAAATAAATCTAGTTAATTGTGAATTAAAACAGCTTAATTATTTGGTAAATTAACTATTTTAGTAACTAAATTAACTTAATGATATATGAAATTAACTAAATTATCAACAAAATTTGTTTAAATATTTCACAATTTAGTTAATTTTGTGAATAATAACTAAATTTCGTTACTTTTGGGCTAATTTAATTTATAATTTAGCAATTATTAATGAAAAATTTTCACTTTTGGAATATTGTATATTGAATTGTTAATCAGTTTTGTATAAATTAGAATAGATATATGCGAGAGGGCTAACACGGGTTGGTTTATGCAGAGTGTGGGGAAAATGGAATATTTTCTTGCACTAAGTTTTATCCTAGGAAATGCATATAAAAATTCATTTATTAATTCTTAACTGTTAAGTACATTTTGCCTATCACTGAGTACACTGATTGTAAATTGAACTAATCATGAAATATATAAACGAGATACTGTACTGTATATTTATTGTCATATTTTCAAAAGTTTGTTAATTGGAAAACAAATATCTAACTTGTAAGTTGTATAAAATAAACATCTGTAAACTTTACTAAAATGAGTGTAAACCGCAATCCGCAAATTAAATATACTCAGGTATTATATCATAAATGTATTATTGTTACTTAAATGTTTTCTTATATTTAATAGATATTCATAAACGACGAGTTTGTTAATTCTGTGAGTGGAAAGACATTTGATATAATCAATCCCAGCAATGGTCAGCTCATCACAAAAGTCCAGGAGGGAGACCGGACT